CTGATAAATAGTTGATAACTTAAAATAATGGAAGGGCTTAATTTTTGTCTTTTACACCTTCAAGAATACATGCCTGAAATTGTCTTCTATTCCAATTTCTTGTCTGGTGGTAAGCCAGTTGGGGGTCTTTTATAGGAATTTCTTGTGTTCTGGTAGGAACCAGTTGTTACCCAGGTTGCTTGTCTTCTGGCCTTTTAAAATTAACAATATAATAGTCACCCCCAAATGTAATAGCAGCTTGTAGTGCTGCTTGTCTTTCATTAGAAATCAATAGGGTAACATTACATCTTTCCAGTCTAGCTCATAGGTTTGAGTGAGTTCTCTGAAGAACTCAGTGTACTAATCAGGGTCATTTGAAAACATTCCTAGACCTTGTTTGATCTGTCTGAGGTCACAGAGAGGAAAGGACACATAAACACATGTATGATGGCTGAATTTGTCATTTACTTCCTGTGGCTTATATTTATTTATTATTATTATTTTTTTGTACCAGGGATCAAACTGAGGACTCCGTGCTTACAAGGCAGGCTCAGAGCCACGAGCTAAATCCCCAGCCCTATATTTATATTTTGTACATTGCTTGTTTATGTTTTTTTTTTTTGTGGTACTGGGGATCGAACTTAGGACTTTGAACTTGCGAGGCAGGCACCAGAACCACTGAGCTAAATCCTCGGGCCTTTTACTGAGCTAAATCCCTGGCCTTTTTAATGAGCTAAATCCCCAGCCCTTATATCCCCCCCACACCCTTATATTTTGAACACAAATAAGGATCTTCTTTTAATGCAAGGAAAACATAAACATAAGCCAATTCTGACCATTTTTTCTCACTGTTACAGTACAATTCTAATTGTGAGATAGTATCATAATCAGTACTTTCCTCTGCATTCCATTTTGGCTCTAGGTGGTAGGCAAGCAATGTACTGGTGCAGAAAAATACTAACCTGCTCTTTCTCAGTATGTGAGAGTCGAACATTTTCCATTGTTTAAGAATACATTTCAAAGGAGTGAGAGGTTAGGATATGGAGTTTCCCATCTGAAACAAGATAAACAAACTGGAGTCCCTGTAAGTTTCTGCTTGACTCCTGTGCCCTTGAGCTGTCCCCCAAGTTGATTCCACTCCAGGGCAGATAGCTGCTGTCTGGAGAGAGACTCAAAAGATAAAGCAGACTGAACTGTCTACATTTTTACCAGTGTGAGACCTTATCTTCTCAGAAAACTCATGTCCTTATTCCTGTAGGTACTCCTAAAGCACAAATTACAATTGATTATAGCCCCAACAATCATGTTTAGAGAAGGAAACATTGCTAGCAAAACCAAAAATCAAGAGATATAAACCACTAATTTCTAGTTTTTTGAAAGAGACTGAGGAAAATAGGTCAATGGTCAAATTAGAGCGCTTTTTTATTTTTATTTTTGCCTGTAAAAGAGATCACATCTAGAGATGGGTAGGTTGTCTATCTAGTCACCTAGGCAAACTTCCTTAGCAGCAAGACAAAGAAAGACATACATTGTTCAAGGTCCATTTTTAAATCACTAAGTATCTGAAATTCACAGATTAAATTTATGTTCATCACCTAGCAACCACAATTCATGTTAGTAAAGGCACATCTATCAGATTTCAATGTACACATGAAAAGAAGAGAAAGGCGGACTGAAATCCCCTTTTATCCTAGTTAGCTTATAAAAAACACGAGTTTAAGTCACTAGCTGATTGCTGTTTTTCTCCTTGTAAGATGAAACAGTTATTGCAAATTGCCTTAGCCCAAGTTTCTGGAAGGAGGAGTGATCTGACTAGAAGGGGTTTCTAAGGTTAACTCCCAATGAGTTGTTGAAATAAAAGCGTAAACCACCTAAAACCCCAAAATATCATTATATAGCATTTTACAGGTGTACAGTAAAAGTTTCAAAGTCCATAACCCATTAGTGAAAGTATTTTCCTCCCCTACACACATAAATGATGAAAACCAGACCAAGAAGGGGAGGAAGAGAAGGTTGGGTTTCTCTCTTAAACTTATTAGAGATCCTTCCTTTCTCTAACTTTACATGCCTCTATAAGGAAAGTGTAAAGTGGCAGGGAAAGACCAGAAATGAGACCAGGAAAGGAGGTCTATTCTTATCATGCTCATGGTGAGTTATGGAAGACAATTTGCTCCTGAGTCATCAATCTCAGCATGCAAAGGCAAGAATGGGGAATCCCAAGAGCTAAGATTGCTTCCTCACCAGTGGATGATCAGATAAGAATGGAAATAGAGGCAGAATGGGCCCAACACTTTCTCTAGAGTATAGAGAAGGATTGAACTGGAATAGCTCAGTGAAACTTGTTCCCCAAGTCTTAAGAATGGCCACCAACCTATCTTCTTTTAACTGGTGGATGGGTTCCCATGATTTATTAATAAGCATATATATGTCTTAAATATAAACTAGATTTCATACAAAGACCCATTCTATAGAATTTTCTAAGTTTACTTTAGGTACCATTAAAGTCTATTAGGTGGCGGTCTGACACTGCTTTTTCCCTAGCACTGTTGTCTAACAAAACAAAGAATGCTAGCAAATTTAACAACTTTAGCAATTAAGTCCAAATGCAATATATACAAAACAGGAATAAAATGTAATTTTAACAAAAGACAGTACATCATAAGAGAAACAAGCAATTTGCAAAAATATAAGACATACAACCTAAAATTTAGGACAATTTTGAAACAAAAGCTAGGATTTATGAAACAAAGGCAGAATTTATGAAACAAAAACCAGAATCTATGAAACAAAGATCAGAGTCCATGAAACAAAAACTAAAATCTATGAAACAAAAGCAAACTCTTACCTCTATCCAGTTATCTCAGTGAAAGATCTCCAAGTGATAAAGGGCACCAAGTAATCCAAATAATGTAAATAATCCAAACAAGGGAAATATTATAACCACCAACCTGCTAGATATCAGAAATGCCAAGTTCATGTTCTCTAAAATCAAAGGATGAATTCTAGGAACAACAGAGGTTAAGAGTAGGAAATATTTATACAGGGAAAGATAGCTCCTGCCTGAGAGGGACAGGAGGGCACACTCAAAAAGTGTGTTGCCCGGGGCCCCATTTTCCAGGGGGTTATTATGGGGCAAAGCCACAAGGTGGGGTATTGGAGGCTGGTCAGACCCCCAATCACCTGACCAAGGATACAGTGGATGGATTAGAAAAGGCAAGATAAGATCTTAATGTATAAATGGGGGGCCCAGGATGGTCAAAGCTTGTTATTTATTTATTTTATTTTATTTATTTCAAAGCTCTTATCTGGCTAAGATACCATCTCCTGGAGCTTGCCACTATTTATTGATCATGCAGCTTCTAGAAGGGATAAGGGGAGGTGCAGGGAACAGTGAAGTGGAGAACACTGACAAGAGCAGGGTCCTAGCAACAGAGGAACAAGATATTCTAGTAAGACCAGATCATTGGTTAATGGGAAATTTGTTTCTTCCCATGGATTGATTTTTTGCCTCTATAGGAATTTTCTGTATGAGTCATGCTGCCCTTAGCTGCACTATTGTCTTGTCATCCAAGACATCATAGCGTCATGGATCATTGAGACCTCCACTGTGACCAGTGGTGTGGGGAGTTGTTCCTTTCCCACACACCAACTGCTGGCTCTTCAAACAAAGCATTGTGGGCCAACAGGCAGACTCAGACTTTTAATATGAAAAGCCAGTTTATGAATTTATGGCTCACTGAGTGGTCTCCATCAGTGGGGCAGGTACAAAATGGGACAAAACTACAGTCAACCAATAAGATCCAGTGGAAAACACAAAGTGGGCATGAGGTGAGACAAAACCATGATCAACCAATAAGATTACAAGTACAGTTGCCCAGGTAGTAGTGATTTACTGGGGATCAAATGGGGAAACAAGTCACATAGCAAGCGTATATACAATGAACAAGTTTTCAGAAAGCAAGTGGGCTAGGAAGATTTTGGTCCCTACTTAATGATGTCTATTTAGAATATCAATCACTGCTATTTATGAGTGTAGTACTTTTTCTTTTTGACTCTTGACTTTGAGTAGATGGGCCTCAATTGTCTTCTGTTTTGACTCCCTCCAGGGCCCCAGCCCTATTTAACTTCCTACAGCACATCTAATTAGCTTAGCTGTCTACCATATGGGGACCAGTTGTGAGTTATGTGTGCATGTGCATGTGTGGACCTGCGTGTGCATGCACACAAGTTCATGCATGTGCTTTAACCACGCCATGTCTACGATGCTTGTAACTCACAGCTGCTCCCACCCTTCTTGTCCCTTCCTGAGTACTGTCCCTGGGGAGTGGCAGCCTCTGACCTCCAGGTTTGTCTCCTTCTCAGGGGTGTAGTTTCCTCTGATGCTAGACTTGCCGGCTGTCCCTTCTGTCTTGGTTCTGTAATGAATGTTTTGGTGATGATGTGCTTTACCACAGGAGAAACCTTCGTGCAGTTAGTTTTCTTCCTAGAAATCAAAGCTTAGGTGAGAGATATTTTAAGCTTCCTCACCCAGATCATCAGAGTGCTCTCCAGAGGAGTAGGCTTGATTTGGCCAGGGCCATGCAGCCCAGAGAAAGTCTCAGGGTCCTGGCTGAACATTGGGCTTCATTTCATATGAATATTTGTGGGTGTTGTCCTCAGCACTGTCACACAGTCAGCGAACCCTCCTTGCTGCCACCTAACAGGGGGTGTGTGGTTCGAACACTTTCCTCTTCCACTTACACTCACCTCAGCTGTTGCTTTGCAGCCTTTTCACACTGTAGCTCAAGGCTTTCCCTGATGTGGCTGCCTGATCTTGGACTTCTGGCATCCAAACTGGGAGCCAGTTAAACTGCTTTTCTTTGTGAATCACTCAGATTTCAGTATTCGGTTATAGCAATGGGAACCGGACTGATAGGTGTCATCTTCTTATCACAGACTTTATGCCTGAGTCCCTTAAGGTAAACCTCTCTGGTATTTACTGATCCTTAATGAAAAATATTCTTCATTCTGGGGCTGGGGATTTAGCTCAGTGGTCTTGCTGCCTGCTGTGCAAGCACAAGGACCTGAGTTCAATCCCCGGTACCAAAAAAAAAAAAATTCTGCATTCTACGCCTAGCCATTCATTCATTCATTCATTCATCAGTTCAGAAAGCAGCATTGCACACCTGGTGTCAGATTCTGACTAACAGTGTGAGATCTGGGGCCTGCCATCCAGAGGTTCTGGGTCTCTGAGGAGAGACACAGGGGGTCTTTCAGCACAGCATGAGGCATGGTGTCATAGGATGTGGAGAGGTGCAGGGACCCCAGCTCTAGATACATCCTGGGTGTCATTGGGAGCTTAGCTAGGCAGATTTAGAGAGAGCAGTGCAATCTTTTGCTCCTGTTCTGGTTTTCCCAGAGGCTGAGCAGATGCTCTTGGGCTTGTGGCACCTAGAACTGCTTTTCCTGGAAGTTGCTCCTCTTGTAAGCCACCAGCTTCAGGCTCCATGTTAGAGCACAGAGAATGGACTAAGACCCCAGCTGTCCCCACAAGGCTCCCAGGTATCTGCAGCAGGAAGCCCTGCACCTCCTAGCCTATAGCTTCCTCATGTCAGGGTGAACACTACAGCCGATCCTTTGGAGTCCTGGTCAGTGCTCTTCTCTGTACCCCGCACCCAGCTCCAGGGAACCTTCCAATCCACCTCCAGAACAGACCTAGAACCTGCTGTCCTCACAGCTCATGCTGTCTGGCCACCTGGACCATGGCAGGGCCTCCTGACCCTGAAACATCTGCTCAACTTGCTGCCAGCGGTGGGGTCCCTTCACAACCACAGCCTCAGCCAGGACCCTGCACCTCTGCTCCAAACTCCTGTGAGGCCTTGGAGCTCTGACCCAGGCTTGTGTGTCCTCACTGAATTTCCACTCACTTGGGCTTTGATGTCCCTAGTGGCCATGTCTGCTGAACCGAGGAGGAGGTCCTGAGGGTCCCTCTTTCACTAGGAGAAGGAAACAAAGGCTTCACTGACTCTCGGGGCCCAGCACATCCTGCCCCAGCTCCGACATCCTCTCTTGCTCCTGCTGCTGTTCCTGGAAGCTGCTAAGACTGCTAGGGTGCTCCTGCCTCAGGGCCTTTGCAGTAGCCAGGTCCTCCTCCTGCAGATTTGTGGCTTCCTCCTCACCCCTTCAAATATCTGCACAGAGATCTGCCTCTTCTTGAGCCTTCTCTAACCTCGCTATTTAAAATCATAGTGCCCCCACCACCACCTTTCTTTCTTTCCCCTGATTTATTTTTTCACTGCATCTTCTGAGTTTTGGTTTGTATTTTTCATCTCTAGTCACCGAATGCAAGCTCAAGCCTGTCATCTCTTGGCTTGCTTTTTTTCCCAGTGCCTGGCACGGATCAGGCAAAGGCATTTGTTGATTGGCAACAAAGTCAGGATTACTGCTCTTAAACTTAAGCTCCTTTTATTATTTTGTTTGAGCAAATGCCAACATTTCCTCCCAGTAGAGCTTGTCTTACATAATTGCAGTTAATTATTCCAGTTAGCGTGGGAAGAGAGATTCCCTCAGGGACACAGGGGAAAGAAGAAAAATCCAGACAGTAGATTTTGACACTTGTTTCTAATGTCTCTGAAACTACAGGAAAAGAGAAGCTCTATAGAGAGTGGGTTTGTCTTAATAAGGCCAAGTGGAAGCCAGAGTGATGGCCCAGGGAAGCCAGGCCTGAATCATAGAACTTGTGTCTGGGAGCAGCAGGCAGAGAAGGCAGACATGGGACAAGCAGTGACCTCCCTCCTGTCTCCATACCTGCCCCTCCTCTGGAGCCCTGTGGTCAGGACCCTCAGGGCTGCACTGGATGCAGCTGCTCAGCTTGGGCTACTCCTATGCTGCCTGAGTTGGAGTTTGGATGGCTGTGGCACCAGATGTCTTCTCTCTGTTTCCTGGGCTGTGGGCTACTGCCCCAGGCTGCACTGAGCCCTCTCTGCCTGTGTGGTCTCCTTAACCTGCAGGAACAGCCCCCAACTGCCAGGAGGTAAGTGGCTTTGATCCCCACCATGATGAGCTGGCCATAAGCCCTAAAACAGTGGGCCTAAGTGACCATGGACTAGAGTCTCTGAGACTGTGATTTTACATAACACTTGCCTTCCTGCTGGCTGTTGTGTTACAGGGATACAAAGGTGAGGAATACATTTTTTTTTTTTTAACCCTTAGAATCTCTCATGTGTATATCCTAAGGTCAAGAGCATTCTCTTACCCAAACTCGGGCCAGTGACTACCATCACAACATGAACATGGCACACACTGCTGTCTGATGCATATGTATGAATTTATTGGGGGCATTTAGTCATCAGGCCTCCTCAGTCTCCTCCAATCCTGAACAGTTCCTCAGTCTTCCTTGTCTTTGTGGTCTCATCCTTTTTTTTTTTTTTGGTACCAGGGATTGAACTCAGGACCTTGTGCTTGCAAGGCAGTTGACTGCACTACTGAGCTAACTCCCCAGCCCTCATTCTTTTGGAAGTACACAGGAAAATCACTTTGTGGAATGCCGCCAGTTGGGGTTTGTCAAGAGATTAGGTGTGGGGCCTTTAAAGAAACTGAAAATGAGGTTGGCTCCTCCTGTTATCACGGCAGGAGGCCCCAAGGGCCAACAGTCTGTCGCTGTGCTGACAGGTACTGACTTTGATCCAGGGTCAGGTGGATACTCCACGTTTCTCCAATGAAAAGTTACTGTTTTTCCTGTTATAATCAATAAGCATTTCACCGGGCTATACTTTTTTTTTTTTTTTTGGTACCAGGGAAAGAACTCGGGGCCTTGGGCTTGCAAGGCAGCCGCTGGAACCACTGAGCTAAATGCCCGGCCCCTGGGGCTATACTTTTAAATATACTTTTAGACTTGCACTCTCTAAATTTAGCATACAATGATAATTCTCGCCAGAATCAACTGTTATTATGATTATTGTCAAATCATTGTGTTTCTATGTCATCTTTTAAATATGTATTTATTAATGACTTTCATTATACAGTAAGGAAAACTACCATCCATCCATCTATCCATCAGTCATCTATCTCTCCATTACTAATGCTCAGTTTCTCATTTTATTCAGTGACTTGTTCTTTTATCATTATTTATTGTGATGGTTAAATCCTCAGGGCTGCTCCTGGGAGCCCCCTGAGCTGGCTCCTGTGTCCTATGGACATGTCCTCTTATTCTCTGACCCTGTCCTTACTTTCTGACATAACAAGAGGTCCAGGTTCAGAGTTGCCTGTCCTTGTTCCAGCCCTGGAAGCAGTAAAATTAGGACTCATACCTGAGTGCAGAGCTGCTCATTGCTAATGATGTTTCTCATCCCGGGCACTTTTGTTTTCAGGGGACCTTTGGCAGTGTCTGGAAACAGGTTTGGTTGTCTCCTGCTCAGGAGAAAGGTGTTAGAGCCGTCTAGTGGGCAGAGGTCAGGGATGCTGACCAACATCCTGCAGAACATAGACGGCTCCTGAACAAAGAATTACCAGGTTCCAAAGGTGCTTAGCGGGGAGCTGAGGTTCTTTGTTCTAACCTCTCAGCTGATGGAGATGGGATGTATACAGGACCACAACTGCAGGCTTTATATTGTCGGTTTCTACATTGAAAACTATGAGCTCACATTGACACTAATTCCAACACAATCGGGTTCATTCTAGTCATCCTTTTCCTTGGCCAATAAACCCAGATTCCATTATCATCATTGATTCCTTTACAGTGGACTCTTGACTTACAAACTCAATTTGTTCCCGAGGGCTGGTTGTAACTCAAATTGGTCAATTGGAGGTTCAGACTCCTTTACACAGGCTTCAAAGTCTCTTTCTTGTATACAGGCAGATCTCCATGTCCTTAGAGAGACATTGGCCCAGGATTTATCAGTTAACCTCACACAGGAAAGGATGGTATAATGTTCCTTCCAGAACTCTTTAAGGGTTAAATCTGTATCTGAGACCATCTGGAAGCATTTGGGTCATAACTCAAGATTTTGTTTGTAAGTTAAAACTAAAATTCTGGTCATAACCCAAGTTGTTCATATGTCAGGCTGGTCACAACTTGAGGGTCTACTTTAGTTTCCTAATTCTAGAATCTAAAAAAAGTGAAGCATTTTTTTAGATTCATGTTTCCCAGTTTGTTTGCAGATTTGACTTCTGAAGTCCCCTCTCCTAAAAACAAAGGGTCTGAAGATCAAAGTCATCTGTGAAAGGTCGAATAGATTTAATCAACTTCTTTATTGCAGGTATTTTATGTGTTTTATGCCTGTTTACGTGTACTGGTATCTCCATGAGATGATGTTTGAATGCAGAATACTTGCAATATGTTTGTTCAAGAATCCTGGAATCTTTAATTAGGAGCGTCTCTGAACTCACAGAGCTTCACAGTATATAGCATACAAGAGTTTATAAAATACCCTTTTGACTTTTCTCATCCTCCAAGGGGCTGTTCTGGATTTGGCCATGAACATAAAGAGTTTGGCACTTTGGAGGAAACTCAGAGCTGGAAAACACCTGTAGAGCACGTTTGCTCCATAACACACCCTTGTTTTAAGGGATTCTGTGTATGTGCTGCAGGTGTGTGCATGTGTGCGAGTGTGTATGACTTTCCGTGTGTATGTGTAATTGTGACTGTGTGTGTACACATGTGACTCTATAGGTGTGTGATTGCATCGTGCAGTTATGCATGTGATTCTGTACAGGTGGTCATGTGTGGTCCTGGGGGAGTGTGATTGTGTGTCCATGACCAGTACAAGTGGCCAGGCAGCAGTCCCTGTGGGAGTCCACGAGGGGCTCCTCCTGTCCCTCCCTTGGAGCAGTGGCCCCAGGAGCACCTCCCTGCCTTTCTCTGGGGCACTGGGTTAGCAGCTGGGCTGTCAGAAGCACATGTGTTTCCTCAGGGACCATCACACCGGACACAGGCTCACTTTGCCTGATACACTGCCAGCTCCAAGCACCCTCTGTCCTGAAACTCCAGGCCCGAGGGAGAGTAGGGTATGCATGGGCACCCTGTGCACTTCCAGATCCTTCCCTTGGTTCTTACATGGTGGGGACACTGTCTGCTTCCTCCCTGCTATAGCCTCAGCCATGTCACAGGGCTGGGTCAGCCATCTGTGGATTTAATGATTGCATCCTTCAGCAAAAGTTATAACATGCTTTTTCCCCATTGTGCAGTGGAGGAGACTGCAGCAACAATCCCACGGTCAGAATCACCGTGTGGGACTAGCAGGCCCCACTGAGACCCCTTGGCTGCCTAGCCCTGTCCAAGGTCCCAGCTCTCTAGGGATCTCCCCTCCATAAGATAGGTATGGTAAGCTCAGTCTGCCTCGAGGTCATGTTGTCACTGGCAAGTGTGTACCTCCCTGTTTGGGGTCCATGAAGAAAGGTGACATTCACTGTGATGTGTCAGCCTGACTGGAATAAGAACAGCCTGGAAGTTTAGTAAAGCACAGCTCTGGGTGCATCTGTGGATGTTTGAATTGAGGTCAGCAAACTGTGGGGGAGACTCAGGCCTGATGTGGGTGGCACCAGCCAATAAGCTTGTAGCCTGGATTGAATAAAAAGGGAAAGAAGCAGGAAGCATGCCTGTTTTGAAGCACTACGGTCTTCCTAGTGGGTATGTCCTTTGCTGTTTGGGGCCTCTGGTGGGTTCACATAGGTGAATCACATCAGAGACCCTCACAGATTTGGAGCAGGGCTCTGGTATCATCCATAGACTGTCACACTTCCTTTAAGAAACAGCTCCTGGTCTGCTGCTGGCCCTTAGTGGAAACTGAATGCTTGACCATGGGATGCCATGTGACTGACCTGAGCTGCCCATCATGAGCTGGGTGCTCTGTGGCCCACCAGATCATAAAGTTGGATGTCTACAGCAACAGCCCATCATTAAATGGAAGTGGTATATATGTGATCGGGGTGAGCAGATCAAGAAGGTATAAGTAAGTTACATGAAGAAGTTGCCTAAATCCTTCTCTTATTATATTTCCTTCTATCTCCTAGCATGCCCTTGTGGCCTCACGGGTGTACTGTATGATCGATCAGCTGACAGAGGAAGAGATAACTAGGGCCTAGCTTATGGATGGTTCTGCACATTATGCAGGCTGAACTAGAAAGTGGACAGCTGCAGCATTACTGCCCCTGTCCAGGACATCCCTGGACAGTGGAAAAGGGAAATCTTTACAATGGGCAGAACCTCAGGCAATGCACCTGGTCACATATTTTGCTTGGAAGAAAAGTAGCAAGATGTGCAACTGTATGATGCTTTGTGGGCTGTAGCCAGTGATCTGGCTGGATCTTGAGAACTTGGGGGAAGGAACATGTATTTGGGAAATGACAAATGCATTTGGGAAAGAAGTATCTACAACCCACAGTGCCTCACTGGCTACTGGTTCAGTCCTGAGGACTCTGTAATGGGCTTCTGGCTGCAATGGGCTTCAAGGGGTCCATACCTCTTGTCTCATTTTTACACCTCCAAGGAATGAACAGAGGCTGCTCTTCAAGTATAGACTGAGAAACACAAAGACCCCAAATCCATAATACTCTAAAATCTAAAATTTGTTGAGCATCAGCAGGACACCACAAGTGGAAATTTCCACACTCTGAAACTTTGCTTCATGTGTGAAATTTATAAGAAGTTTTAGGGTTTCCTTTGACACAGCAATAACTTCATGTTAATTATGTTAGTTTCATATGTTGGCTTTTATAGGTAGATTAAATATAAATGGGAGAAATGTTTATAATAGATCATTCACATATACTTGTCTCTACTAAGTGTATTTTCATCCAGGTATATAAAAAAGGGGTTAAGATTGCTTTATTCTTTGTTCCTCATTAAGTATAACATTACTAAGAGTTAAAATTCTAATGTATAATTCTATAAAAAGGGATATATATGTTTCTATTTTAAAAGAACATATTTTATCTTACTAAGGAAAAAAGTACCTTTTCCAAATTCAGAAATTTTGAAGTTTGTTTTAAAGGTAAATTTAAAGAATGAGGACAAGGCAGAAAGAAGAGGGAGAAGTAAAGGATATGGGTAAGAGAATATTTTTGGCAAGAAAAGATCTGTGTGGTGAGAAGTTGAACTACCAGAAATTAAGAAGAAAGATGAGGACAAGATCAGAAAGCTACTGTACATCACAAAAAGTTTGTCAGTGATATTTGTGAGAGAAAATTTCTAAGTATGATAAGGTTGCCTATAATTTCACAAACTTTAAAGAGTTTTTTTAAATGCAAAATTTCTAACATTACTGTGAAATCCAATTCTATGTTTAAAACAATACTATGTTAAAATGTTGATGCACTAAGTAAAAATTTACAGAAAGTCGTCTAAGAAAAGGTTTCTGTTTATCAAGATAATTTCTTCTGTTTTCTTCTCTTAGGTCTTTGATTACCAAGGAAACTGAGTCTTAATAGAGTCTGGATTTATTTAAATGATCAGTTTATAACTGTGATTAAATGAACATCTGTTATTTTAGGTTACTGTAGTATGCTTGACCATTCCTATGTCTGAGACTAGAACTGTATAATGCAAGGACTACCCATGCTGTGAGAATGTGCAAAGGTTGTGAAACTAATGATGCATAAGTTTGATGCATAGTCAGTAACCAGTATGTGCTGTCTCACACAACATGCACAGCATCTGCACCTTGAACTTATGAAATGGTCAGAAAAACCTAACATTTCTGCTGCTATCCAGGACCATTGCAGGGGAGGGGGAGGTTCCATGTAGACAACCTTGCTATTTAAACTATAGTCCATGTCTACTGGATGTAACTCAGTAATTTATTGCACAAATGAGACACACTTGTATATCAGGTAATAAGTCTATTTGAGGCCATTAACAATGTTTCTACACTTCATCTTAGCCAAAAGGCAGAGAAGCGATTATTAACAATGTTTCTTAATCTTGTATGAGATCCAGAGCCATTCTCTGATTTTTGCCACTATGGTTAAACTTTGAAGATGTCTCAAGCACCAAATTTACATGATTATAGCTATAGTACTGAGCCATCAATTCTGAATTTTGCCTTGAAAGTGAAAAGTTAAGTTGATATGTAAACATTTCTATGCAACAATGCTGCTAATTATTACTTCTTTGTATGTCAAATGCTGTCACTCCCTCAGTGTGCAAGCCTTCTAATTTTATTAGAATAATTAGATATGGTTAAACACAGGAATTCTAGGGCTGGGGATTTAGCTCAGTGGTTCCACCATCTGCCTCGCAAGCACATGGTCCCAAGTTCAATCCCCATACCAAAAAAAACCAAAACCAAAAAAAAACCAAAACCAAACCACAGGTATTCCAAAATTGGTGACCTAAAAGACACATTTGTAAGCAAATATATTCTACTTAAAAGGACTCTAATTCTGACACAACTAGAATTATGTTTCTTAAACTATTATGCTGTTTTGCTTTTATTATCTTTGTATTGCATTTTCCGTGTAATAGTTTGCAAGTGTGGTCTGTTCACATTCCTCAGGGTTATGGCTTCTAACAGAAAATGTGAACAGAATTTTGGGAAGATAGGCCATTCCCTGTGAGATGGATGGGCTCTGACACAGACTCCTCACAGCTAAAAAGAATTACAACAGGATTACAGTTGCTGCCCCACATGGAGAATAGTATAACTGACCTTGTTGGTGTTCAACAACTGAGGCTTGGAGACCAAAGCTAAGGGAGGTAAAAGGACAAAGAGGTCAGCCAATAATTTGGTCCTCCAAGGTCATAACAGGTCCCCTCTGCCAGGCCCCTGAACCTGCAGTGAGTAACCCAACCTCCTGAGCAGGGGGATTGTTGGGCTCCAGAGGACAGAAACGCTACGGTGTGCATTGTGCTAAAGGAGGGTCACAACAGAGGGGAGTGTCCCCATGCTTCCAAGGAAGCGATATGGTCACACAAGACCACAATCCATCTGGGCAGTTGACACAACCAGTAAGGATCTGAGGGAACCAAAAGGCTCTGGTCTTCACATGTCCCCAAAAGTAACCCCTGAGAAGCCTTGAGTGACCTTAACAGCAAAGGGAAGCTAGTTTGGTAGCATACTCGGTCTCAAGCAATCAATGGGAAAGTATAACCAGAGAGTGAATTAGTTATTAACATTTTTAAAAATTAGAGAGCTGGGGATATACCCAGTGATGCCCAGCCTATCTGGCAAGCGCAAGATCTTGAGTTTGTTACCCAGTACTGCAAAAAGAGAGAGAGGGGGGAGAGGGAGAGGGAGAGGGAGAGAGAGAGAGAGAGAGAGAGAGAGAGAGAGAGAGAGAGAGAGAGAGAGAGACAGACAGAGGAGAGAGAGCTTTTGTCTCTTTCACTTTAAGATTAAGGAGCATAGGGCCGGGGATTTAGCTCAGTGGTTCTGCTGCCTCACAAGCGCAAGGTCCCAAGTTCGATCCTCGGTACCAAAAAAAAAAAAAAAAGATTAAGGAGCATAAACTCTCTCAGAGAGAAGAAATACAGTCATAACAGAGTCAGAGGCCACTGTAAGGATGTGGGACAGGCAGACCCCTGGACCTTGCTACCTGCTCGTTAATGTGATCTGTGTTTTCTTCTGGGACAGGCAGGGGCTTAATCACCATTTTTGCTATGAACCATGGCTCTTCAGTTGGGCTGCAGATGCTGGATAGGTGACTAACAGCAGAACACAGCTGGACCATTATTTGTATCCTTGTCACTGTAAATCCTGAGTCAGATCTCTTCTCAGATCTGCATAGGGCCTGCTGGTCATTTAGGATCTGGCTGGACCGGGTTGACCTGAATTTTGAAGGTCTCATCCCCTTCAAGACTGAGGACACAAGATGAGAGGTTTACAGGGACACTAAGCTACACCCAGAAGCCTATAGCCACTGACCTGAACCTGTGATCACCTGGATTCCAGGCAAGGGGGAGCCCCATGTGACTGAGACCCCCTGATGCAGAGTTCTCTTCTGGAAAGGAAACCATCCCTCAGCCATCAAGATCCCACAACTAAGACTGAGATGAAGAAACACTGACTACTGGGACCCCAGCCCACCACCTAATCCTTAACAGCTGCCTCCTGCCTCTGTGGTGGACTGGTCTGAACCCCTGTATCAGAGCGACCCCCTCCAACCACCTAAGGTGTCCTCCCTCTGACCTTCCAATTAAAGCTTTCTTCCTGTAAAAATAAAACTGTAACACTTACCTTCAGGCTACGTGTATAAGATGCACATGAAACCTGAGTGTGTTTCTCAGATGTGGGTCCCAACCCCAGGAAATCTTATCAGGCATGTGAAGATTTCCCACAATCCCACAGATCTCTCAGCCCTGAAGCACTCTGGTCTCAAGCACTTTGCCTAAGGGACTCTCAGCCTGCAGTTAAATAAACCCCCACCATGAGCCACAGGAGCCCTGAGGCTGGACCTGGACCAGTGGCTCTGCTCAGGTGGTCACTGAAGCTGGGGTGAAGTGGGCACCCCGAGTGGATGACGGGGTCACCTTCTCCAAGGCGAGTCCCCAGGGCAGAGCCAGGTCCCGGAGGACAGGTGGAGTGAGTGTGCAGGAGGACGGACCCCACAGGAGAAGGGTGATGGTGATAAAGTGCAGGGCCTCAGTGACAATGACTCAGCCCCATCTCAGGGGTGTGTGACCGAGCCCAGGAGGCCCCGTGTGACAGACTGCACAGAGCTGTGAGGACAGCTCCCCCAACCCTTCCCCTGCACCCAGAAACCACACCACACAGAGGGAGCTGGTGCAGATTTTTACTGAGCAAGGCAGGGGCGGCTGTGTGTGCCCCACACAGGTGTGGTTGAGAAGCACAGGAGAAAGGAAGAGGGGACAGCACGTGAGCGTACATGTTGCCCGGAGGAGCCTGCTGTCCTGTACCCCAGGTGCTGGAGCACCAAGGAGTCTCTCCCAGGGCTAGGCTCCATTTTGAGGTTGCAGACACTGCAGGTGATATGGGTAAGGTGTGGTTGTTGTGGCCTGGCCAAAACAGAACCTCAGGCAATGCGACAGCTGGAGCTGGCCAGGTGGATGTAGTACTCCCAGGCCCTGAAGTGGACCACAAAAGAGCAGAGCTGCTTCTGCCAAAGAGAGAAGGACAGTGAGTGCAGGTTCAGGAGAAAGGGAAGACGCTTGGCCATGAGATGTCAGAGGGGAAAGGAGTGATGTCGGGGAAGTCCCCACATGGCCCTGTACCCAGCTCAGGGGTCCCAGGTCCTTGTTCTCCCACATCTCCCAGGGAGAAGCTATGCAGGGCCAGGATCACAGAGGGCATGGGGCAGGGCAGGCGCTCACCACCCTAGCTCTTCCACCTCAGCACAGGCCAGAACCGAGAGGGCATCCAGGGGACCCTGAGACAGGTGGGGTTGGCAGGGTGACAGGGACTCAGCACCCAGAGCCGTGGTGTCCAAGGATCTGCCTGTCAGGAGAGGCTTGAGGCTGAGGGCAGCCTGGGGATTCCAGACCTCTCAGGCCTGACCTGCTCAATGGGGCTCTGGGCCAGGTGAGGCTGGGACTCAGCAGAGCTCTCTCCCTCCTCACCAGCCCTTTCGCTGCCCACTCCAGCTCAGCAGGAGCACCCCAAAGGCAGGGGTTACCTCCCAGCACCTCACTTCCCAGGGTCCACTCAGCACTCAAATCAATCCTGTGTGCAGACCCCTCTCCCACTACCCCATGGGTGCACTGATGTGCATGTACTCGCACTCACACGCACCCCACACCTGAGGGTATCTACTGAACCACCACAGTCCACACATGGACAGGCAGAGGCACACACACACACATACACACATGACACATGCATGTCCACGTTCACTTCCTGCATGACACACACAGGTGGACACATTCACTTGTCCACATGTGTGCATATTCACTGCTCATCACAACCCACATTCATCTCCCCACATGTCTCACACGTGTGCACACATCCATCGTCTCATAAGTACCCACACACACATCCTCTCACACCCAAACACACACACATTTCCCTATTACTTGTGTTCCTCTACCCACATCAAGCTCATACCCTGTCGTCACTGAAGGGACAGTCTTCCTGGTTGGACTGGGATTTGGTACATGTGGTTCTGCTGATCTCCAAGTCCAAGTAGTAGTTCATGCCGAGCCCGACCTATGGCAGAACAAGAAGGACTCACTCAGAGCTTCATGCACCTCACCTCCCACAGTTTCTCACTGCGTCGGAGTCAGTGTGCTTGCCAGGGCTCAGACCAAACCCATCCTCCACCCTCACTGAGCCAGATCTTCCTGCAGGACTGTCCTGAGCCCTGTGTTCAACTTGTTTTCTTCCAAGGAGGTACAAAGCGGAGTCTCCCGCATCAGAGGAAGAGCCCAAACAGGGAACCGGGAGGTAAAAGCCAGGACTGGACGCTCTGATCTGGACTGTGGGAGGGGAGCCCAACTCAGGGAGAAGCCGGGAGGTGCAGTGAGCACTTCCTGTCCAGGAGGCAGGGCAGGTCCAGCCCCAGCAGGCTCTGTGCCCACACAGGATGGACTAAACCTGTTGCAGGAGAGCTTCAACCTGAGGACCCAACACAGCTGATCCCTCAGAGACCACATGCCCCATCCACCCAACTCCTCTTTCCTGTCATAGCAATAGAAGATGCCCCACTGCCCACTGGGATAGTTCAGGAGGTGCCTGGCACTGTCTTAGGGCCCTTAAAAGTTCACTGCGTGATGTCATAGAGAACACACACAAGGAGAGCTGGCCACACCGTCACAGTCCATGTCCATGGCATCTTAGGGACTTCCTCACTCGCCCATCTGTCCTTGCCTAGAACCCCACTGTAGCTCAGGACTGTTCCCTAGCCTACCAGACCCAGACAGGCCATGGTCATAAACACAAAACAGCTGCTCCAGAGGAGGAGGCTGAGTCAGGACAGGCTGCAGGGCCAGGGAGTGTCCTCAGTGGACATCAGACACACCAAGTGAGGCTCTGTGGGCGACTGAGCATGCGTGTGGCTTCCTGAGGTCAGCCTGGTCCTGAGTGTGAAGAGAAGGACCTCCTAGTGAGCAGTGTAAACTGCAGGGTGCATCCCACAGGATCAGGAGACTCCACACATCCACACACAGCTCCACATGCCATGGGGAGCCAGGAGCAGGGCCCACATGGCCAAGGGTGACCACAGGAGGGATGGTTGCAGGGCCCAGGATGCCCTCTGCTCCTGCTTTGCTTGCTCTGGAGCTCTGAGATCATGTCAGAGCTGGAAGCTAAAGTACAGGGGGGTGGAAGTCATGGGAGGAGGGAACAGGCATGGGGTTCCTATCCCTGCTGTATGGTCACTTGGTTCACAGTTTATATGGACCCTAGCCCAGGAGGTGGTGGTCAGCAGTAAGCCAGGGGACTCTGACCCTGGCCTGGCACCTGGTGCCTCTGCCAGCTGGGACACAAAGAAGTCTAAGGGCCAGGTGTCACCCACACAACCCACCAGGGTCCAGGCTGGGCTTCATGTACAGCAATTCAGGGACACATTCAATAAAGGCTGCAGGGAGAGAGAGAGAAATCCCAGGCACTGGATTGAGTGAGAGGCACAGGGGTGTCAATCCCAGAGGGGCTCCCTGGATGAGGCAAGGGGCTGCAGAGTAGGCAGAGCACCTGGGGTGGGGACAGGGGCAGGGAACAGAGCGAGGGGAGCGGCCAGGTTTGCAGGAGGACAGCACCTCCTGTGCAGCCCTCCTCAGCCCCAGTAGCCACGCACCTGTTGTCGGGCATTCACCACCCGCACCAAGCGGCTGAGGTTCAGGTCGCTGCTGTTCTTGTTGTACTCCTGGAGGGTGAAGTCCACTACATACTGCACTTCCTCATCGTTGATGTCTGCGTCTTCCACTTCACCCATTAGGCGAGGTCTCTCAGGCGAGAACTTAAAGGCAGTGGAGGTCATGGCCAGACCCAAGGCCACAGCAGCCAGGAGCATCACAGGGACATGCCGGGACGGGGCCATGTCTGCAGGACACGATGCCGGAGCTGTAGGTCGAAGAGGGCAGTGATCTGAGGCCACAGTGCTGGCCTGCTGTAGCCCTGCTTTATCCTCTGAGACTCCAGCCACTACCCTCCATCCCTCCCCATCCTCCCAGCCCAGCTCCTCCTTTTCCTGGTGGCCCCTCCCCTCTGCTGTTCCTTCCTTCTGTCTCCTCCACCTCTGTCCCTCTCTCCTCCAGGCTAAGGGCTTCCTCCTTCCTCCCTCCCTCCTCCCATTCCCTGTCCCCAATTCTGCTCCCCTAACCACTTACTTACCTGTCCCCCTTTCTGAGTTCTCCCAGGAGTGGGTCTCCAGAACTTTCTGGTCCCTAAAGTCCCTGCAACTCAGAACTCTGTATCTGCAGGGAAGGGGAAAGAGCAGACCGGGCTTCCCAGGGTGCTCTGAGGTCAGGGGCCTCCTGGGTCAAGGTCAGGAAACCCTGGGAGGGGGAAGGTGACTCCAGAGGTTCCAGGAAGACCCAGGCCCTGCCCTGGGGAACTTCTCTGCCAAGCAGAAGCCAGCTCCCCTTTACTTGGGAAAGGGCAAAGGGTTCTCTTTAAGGACTCATGATCAGTCAATCAACAGATCTTCCAAGAACTACTCCCAGCCAGGTGGTCCAGGCTAGAGATGGGGCACAGGTGCCCGAGCCTGGAGAGGACACCTGGAAGGCCCCTAGCAGAGCTGTAACACTGACCACGTGTAGCTTTAAATTTCAGTAGACACGTTAAGAAAGTGAAAAGGAACAAGTGAGATCATTTTAATAATCTAACCTTTACATCAAATGTCATTTCATGATAGATGATTCTTAATGAGGTGCTTTATACTAAGTGTGTGTGTGTGTGTGTGCATGTGCATGTGTGTGTGTTCATGACTACATGGTAGGTCTTTGGAATCTGTGGGTGTTTGTGACTTACAGGGCAGGTGTCCATGGAGACTGTCCCCATTTCTAGCCCCGTGGCCTTGTGTGGTAGTGACTGAGGCCCAGTTTCAGGGATGGAATTTGGGGATGGAATGACCAACACTTCAGATCAGGGAATCATGAGAGCACTGCTGGCAGGAGATGGAAGGAGTGGGGACAGAAGCGGGGACACTGGACACAGGCTGGAGGTCTCTTGGGTCCCGAGAAGATACAAGCTCCTGCTTAGCCCAGGACATAGAGCCAGCAGAAGGCACAGCAGGGACAGGAGTGGGGCTGAGTCTCACTGTCCTGGGAGCAAGGAGTCAGGATGTCTGGCAGAGAGAGGAATGATCCACTGTCTTTGCCTGCCTGCTGGGGCCAGAACACTGTGGTGTGGACCAAGGTGGGGGTGGGGAGACACTACCAGGTGGGTGGGGCCGAGGAAAGGTGCACATCAGAGCACCTGGGCCACTCCTGCTTCTCTCCTCGGGGAGCCACAGTGCAGCTCTGCTCCTCTGTCCCGGATGGGCAAGTTGATTATTTGCACACAATGACATGCCCTGTGTCTGTGTCCAGACTGAGGGATTTAGAAACTATGCCCAGAGCGACCCTTGCATCAAGATCCAGAGCGGTCACCACGTGGCCAGCTCCCTGGTGCCCCGTGGCCCGAGCTCATGACCACCTGGCCCTGGGACTCAGTCTGCCCTGGGCTGTGATCTGCTGCTGTTGCTGAGATTCCCAGGTATGGACTCACCAGGTGAGTGCCTGTGTCTGGATCCTTTCTCAGCTTCCTTTCTGAGCTCCCCTCATGTCGTTCCCTTAGCCTGACTGTTAAGTTCCTTTTTTTCCCAGACAGAGAGGAACCATGGGAACCATGTGGCCACCAAAGCCCTGGCTTGAGACAGAGCAGGCCTGGCCAGAATAGGGCCCAGGAGAGGTGCGAGTGCAGGGCCCTGGATAGAGAGCAGGATCCTTTCTTCTCCAACCCCACCCTCTCTGTCTGACAGTGACCCAGGGACAGTGACTCTATGGTGAAGGTGGCTGGGTTTCCCAGGACCCTGGGCCCTTTCTGGGCACCCAGCAGGACTGTGCTGCAGCCCAGATCTGCTCTGGACTTGGCTGGGGTGGGAGGAGGGATCTGCTGGAATCAGCAGGTGGGATTGTTTTACCAATATGTGTTGGGAGCCATTCTACATAATGTTGGGGAAAAAATCATTTCACAATTAAAGTATGACTGTAACTGTCTAAGGCCCAGTGTCACCTTGCCCACAAGCCAGCTATGACATGGCCAAACATAACTCCATTTTTGCCTCCAGTCACAGCTGAGACCTCAGTGGTCCCATGATGCTGTGATACTCAAGGGCAAGATTACATCAGTTGAAGACATCCTGGTTCCTTGAGAAGCCAGAGAAAGGTTTCACCTGGGGAGGGACAAATTCCTTATCAGTTTAACTCATCCCACCTATTATCCTAAGAATGCTCTCTTTACTGCCTTCATCAGCATGAGATCCTCATAGGCATAGGATTACCACTGCCCCCTAGGTTACCTGATTCTCCCTCCAATTATTGTGTGTACCCAATATAGTGGCTAGCTTGGAGAGTCTTTGTCTTTGGCCACTCTGAGGCACTGATTTCCCCGGCCCCTTATATAATTTGAAATAACTTAAATCTCTGTTGTCTTTTTTCTTTAGCCCTCACTGTCCGCCTTTCTGGGCAGTTGGAGGATTGATCATCCTACCATAAGTGTGTTTTCAGTTTCATCATAGGATAAAGGATCCTGCTGAGCATGGCACAGCTACCTCCAACCCCACACTATGAGTTAGGAATCCACAGGAAAATGCAGCCCCCATTGGATAAACCAGCCCTTGTGGGGTGTCCTTTGCAGCTATAATGGGGCAGAGGTCCCCAAACAAGGCAGCAAGAGATGATGTCACTGGGAAGCATGGTTGCCTCCAGAGTAGGACTGGTTTCCATCCAGGGCTCCTGTCTTAGGAGGGTATTTCTTGCCAAAGGTGAACTGAAATGGGCCATTCCTCCCCTTGTGGTTAGGAAGGAGGCACAGGGCATGCAGTAGCTGGGGTGTGTTGGTGCAGTGTGTGCTCGCTACACTGTGTGTGACTCCAGTGCCTGTGTGTTAAAATAATGGGATATGCTTCGGTGGCGGGATCAGGTGACCCAGGGAGCAGAGACCTGTGTGGGACCCCCAGGCCTACAGGAGTGTCCCAGAGGGGCCTGGCGAGTGGTGAAGGCCTAGAATAAGGCTAGACCTTCTCTACAGCAGTCAGTGGCCTTGGTGAAGGCTCTGCTGCTGCCAAGTGATTCCCCTGAGAGGGGACTGCTTCTCCCTGACTGCCTGGGGTCTGTGTAGTCCCTGGAGGTGATGGCTCTGCCCAGGTTCCTGGAGCCTCCAACTTTGAGAGGAGCCACAAATGCCCAAGACAACTGCACACCTAGGACTGAGCTGTGGTCCTCAGGTGGAGCCCAGGAGGTTAGTATCTTTCTCTAAACAGGAAAAAGGAGGAAGCCAGGTGTCACAGTCTGTGTGTGTGGCTGTCGACCTCCTGGTCTGATTTAGTAGAAGGAGAAATCAGGTGGTGGTGTTGGGGGGCAGGAATTCTTTATGATAATCACGGGTAAGTGGATATGAAGCACATAAACCGTCACCTGAAGGGGTTAGAGGCTGAATGGAGCGGGCAGGCGCTGGGATTCTGAGCTCAAAGGGTTGAGGTTTCAGACTTGGTGTTAGCACAGGGTGACAGCTTTGACTGTGCTGGACCCTGGGCTTGGTGGCCTCTGAAAAGGGACAGAGCAGCAGGTTCCTTCCTGGAGGGCCTGGAACAGGGTGAAGACACTGGCAGAGGGGAAACTGGAGGGAAGAAAAGGGGAGGTGGAGGATATAGAAAGGGGGGTGGGGTGAGGTGAAGGGGAGCAGAAAAAGGGGAGACGAAGGGGGAGAAAGGGAAAGGAGCAGTGCAGGGGCATGGGGAGGTGGATGATATGTTGTCCCCTGGTGTTTTACTGTGAAAATTTTCAAACATATGCAAGGATTGCTGTAAACACTTATAACCCATCACTCTGTTCAGCTGCCATTGTAGCAGATTCTCCTTGTCTGTCCCCACAAGTCTGTCTATTGTTAGATGGGTCAGTCTGAGCTATGGACCCCATAGATTCCCCCATACACTTCTGCCTGGGTCCCAGTGGCCAGAGCTCAGGGCTTCCCACAGTTTGTCTTAGTTGTGAAACTCTCCTGAAATGCACAGATCTTAAACCTACACTGAGTTTTGGCAAATGCATACCCCATGCACCCCAAACCCCCTCTGGGCCTGGGACCTGACCCCAATCCCCTACCAGACACAGAAGGCCCCTCACACTCCGCCTGGGCCCTCTCTCATTACACAAGCCCAGTGCTGGTGCTTTTCATCATACATGAGCTTGGTCTGCTTTAGAAGTTCAAGGCATGAAACTGCTGTGTGTAGGCAGTGTAGGCAGTGTAGATGGTGCTGCCTGGTGTGTCACTGGCCTGAGGGGCCTGAGTGATGTGCTCGCTGGCCTTGCCTTCAATGCTCTGTCTCAGTGCCTCGTGGCCTGCATGACGCTCTCCCAGGGGCTCTGGCCTGGGTTCCGCTTCACACAGGAGGGAGGCTCTGATGGGGCCCATTCTTTTCTCTTCTGCTCTTTTTTTATTCTCCTTTGTTCTTTTAAACTTGGAGCAACCCCTCCTCCCTCCAATTCCCCCAGGGCTGCTCCACCCTCCCCTTCTTTCTCTCCTAAAGCCAGGCTACATTCCCAGCACTTTTTTAAAGTTTTAAAATTTTAAGCCAAGGTTTCCTTAAGTCACTAAATTGCCTAGGCTGGGCTCAAACTTGTGATCCTCCTGCCTCAACCTCCCAGAGTGTAGGGGTTGCAGATGTGCACCATCAAGCCTGGCTGCCCTCGTGTCCCTGTCTTCCATACATAGCACCTGCCTATCCACCTTCTGCCAGGCACTGACCTGCACAAGGCCCACCAGAGGCTGAGCAGATGCTCCTGGACTTCCAGCCTCTAGAACTGCTTTTCCTGGAATAAGCTGTTCCTCTTGTAAGCCACCAGCCTCAGGCTCCGTGTTAGAGCACAGAGAATGGACTAAGACCCCAGCTGTCCCCACAAGGCTCCCAGGTATCAGCAGCAGGAAGCC